TGTTCAGTTTGCTGACAGGTCCTGTGCTGAGCAAGCTTTGTCCAGCTTAAATGGTACCCCGCTAGGATCGCAAAGCATCCGACTCTCGTGGGGTCGCAGTCCTTCAAACAAGCAGTCTCAACCGGATCAGAACCAGTGGGGCGGTGGAGGGTATTATGGTGGATATACACAGGGACATGGGTATGAAGGGCAGGGTGGGTATGCACCACCTCAAGACCCTAACATGTATTACGGAGGCTATTCTGGATATGCAAATTACCAGCAGCCACCACCACAACAGTGATGCGTGCGAGAGGAGTCATTTGGAGGTCGAGCATTGGGCATTTGATATTTGCTTAGTATGCCGATGATTTACTTGAAAAATTATATTCTGGTTTGTGTTGCTTGGTACTTTTGTTTTGTTGACCTCTTTTTGCTTTTTTACGAGTGTGGGAATTTCTGTGACGTGTTATCGACAGATGCTTGCTTATTATGCGATTACTGTTATGCTTAAAAAAAAAAAAAAAATTGCTGTGTGAACTTCATGGCCATGGTTGATGTTTTTACGTCTTTCGACGTGAACAAAATGTTGGTCCAGCTTCTATGACGGACTTATAAGATCGTGGTGTTCAACTTGATATGGATTTTTGGTGAGAATTACTATAAAAATAACTCCGTATTAATGATAGAGTTTATCAAATGTTTTTCCTGGCTACTGAATAGTAGTTGGCTCGTAACTTTTAAATAATTATAGAGTTCATCAATTGTTTTTCAATTAAATCACTGAATAGTAGTAGGCTCGTTACTTTCAAATAATTAACCAAGTACAAATTTTGTGGGGATTCACTTGTCTCATTGTGACATTTCATGTTTATATATCATGTTAGACAACATGATACATATCCACATGACTTTTAAATATAAATAAAGAAGAGTCTCGTCAGTCGTAACTATGGTAATATTCTAAAAGTACGCTTATTAGAATCTAATAAAGACGAGATTGCATTGACTTTTTTGGACAAGAATGATCGTATGACAATTTTAATTTAATTATTTATTTGTTTTTATTTTATTTTTATTTAAGGTGTTTATCTTTTATTTGGTAGAAAAGTTCATAATAAGTAGGGATTTCTTAGGAGGCAATCCTTAATATATTTTAAGTAGGTTTTTCAAGAGTTCTATTTAAGACTTTTATTCTACTGCTTGGAGACTCAGTTCATTTTGATTGAATTAAGACAAAACGAAAGTTCTCTCTCAGTTCGCTCGTTCGTTCACGCTTTCGTCAGATCTGTTGGCATCAACAGACCAGTACAATTCCTACACCATGCTGCCTAAGAGGAACAACGCTGCAGACGACAGACGCAACGCCAAGAGGCTCTTTTGGCAATGGTATAGGACATCCGTCTGGCACTAGCCACACATGACCACAGCGAGCGCGCGCACCAAGCGGGTTTGATGTTCCAAG